TAACTTATTATATTATTATTTATATTATAACAATAATAATAATTAATAAAAAAATATAAAAAATATTAGAATATTATTTATTATTATAGAAATACAATATATTTATTAAAGAACTTTTGAATATACTATATTTTTAATACAATTTTGAAAACTATTATCTAGAATTCTAATTATAATCTAAAAGAATAATTATGATAGAGATAAAGAAAAATTTATACTTGTCATATATAATAATTTATTTGCAATATTTATTATTACTTATTAAATTTTTACATTAAATATTAGAGTTTAAATTGAACTATAATTTCAATACATAATATTATATTGCTATGTAATTAGACTTATCCTTACTTATTAGACTTCAGCAATAAACCTTTATATTTTAAAACTATCATCTAGAATTTTAACTACTGTCTAATTATTTTTAAATGTATAATTATAATAATTCATTCATAATATTTTTTAATTACAGAATTTAAAATTTAAAATTAAACATCAATTTTATATATAATAGTTATATTGCTTATTAGACTTTAGTATTAAACTTTAGATTTAAAATCAAACTATAATTTTGATGCATAATATTAGATTATTACATAATTATATTTATTCTTACTAATTAGACTTATCATTAAACTTTTAGTCAATAATGTAATTAGATTTATTTTAATCTATTATTACTTATTAAACTATATTATATTAAACTTTATACATTAAAAAAAAGTAATCAATTTGAGTATAGAATAATTAGACATATTTTTTATCAGAGTATATTTTTTAATATGTATCATATAAGAACATATGTCATTTATGCCACAGCTTGATTAATGTTGCTCAATTTTTTTAATATATAGATTATAGATTCTATATAATATAACTAAATTTTTTAAAATATTAATTAGAAAATACTAAAAAAGTCACTTATGAAAATATAATTAAATTTATAGGAATTAGTTGAAATATAGAATCTATTTTAATAATTTTATAAGACTTATAATTTTTAAGACTTATAAAATTCTAATTATTTATTAATTTAAATCCGGAGAATAATATTTATTTTTTGGTTTTTCAATTTGCAAATAGTAAAAATTTTTCGAGAATATTTAATGAAGTTAAAATTTTTGTGACTTGTGATTTTAAGAGTTAATAATGACTACTAGGTGATATTATAAATTACTAGATAAATAATCTGTTATTTTTTTCTTTTGGTAATTAACATAATATAATAAATTGGTGGATTACATGATCATATTTAACAATACATAATAGTTTCTAATCACGTGAAAAACGAGACAGGTTTGAAGACAGACTTGAAACAGCTTAACCCAAGCCGACTCAAAAAACCGACTTCACCCGAGCTTTTAACATCCCTAATTATAAATGGGAGATATTTTAGTCAGCACCATACAATAATATTATTAAGAATCCTAGTTATAATCTTAATATAAATAAATATTATTTTTTTATTTTTAGTTATTCTTTATTTTTTGGTTTATTTTTAATTATTCTTTATTTTGTCTCAAGTTCTTTTTTGTTTTAATTATTTCTTTGTTTATTTTTAATTATAAATTTTATTTTATTATTATTTCTTTGTTTTTTTTTTATTTTGTTTCTAAACTCGGATTTCTTTATTAGATTTTCTATTTCCGAAATATACACCGGGAATAAAATCCGTTCACTTAAACATAATATAAATTATGTAGTACGGAAATTCCATTACAAATTCATTTGCACAGTTGACGCATGGGTGACGCACGGAACATCCCCCATGTCTTTTATTTGGGGTAAAAAATCTCTGCTCGTGTTAATAAGTTTATAACAGAAGAGTAGGACGCGATGTTGACCACGTGGTGGTGATCTTCGCGAGGGATCGAAACTTGATTATATAACACAAAGGAGGGATTGCGAAAAGATTATTATTTCAGATTCGTAGCCTTGCCATTATTAATTTCGTATTCTTTTAGTTTCGTCGCTCCGTTACTCTTGTGACAGAGAAAAAAGTGTAAAAAGAGAATAAAAATTATTGCCAATAAAATAATGACCTCGGTCGCCTCGGGAATAAGATTTTAGGTTAATTTAATAAAAAACCATCCAAATTTATAAATGTGTTTTTTTATTTATAAAATGCGTTGAAACTCTAAATGTGTTAAATATCAAATACTGTAATGAACATATATTGAATGACTTGCTATGAAAACAACAATACACTCAATATATTATCTTCTATAATATACTACAATCATACATAAAAACTCTTTTGATACCATTCTCAAATGCTGTTATTTATAAGTGCCTATCTATAATACAAAATTTATGCCATGTAAATATTGTCTAAATATTCTCAGGCGTAATAATAATATTGTTGATTCCCAATGACGTGAGCAGGAGGAACGTAGTATGGATTAGTAATACTAGGCTGAGTTTGATTGTTCTTAACTTCAGGCTGAGCGTAATTGTTGTGGCCTTGATTTACCGGTCGGGTCGGGTTGGCTGCATTACTAGACTCGTGCATTGTATTCGGTCGAGTATTTGAACCGGATGATGGGGTATTTGTATTGTCTTCAGGATGTGCAATTTCGTATTTCGCATCTGAATAGGATTCACGCTGAAAGAAGGAATTAATTTTAGTAAGAAAACAAGAAAACGACATAATATCATAGATATGATAGTTACGTTATTTGAACAATAGAGCATAAAGAATTCAACTACGTTTTCGGCAAATTTCTAAATATTGAAGATTTATTAGGTCTTATTTTGACAGTTGTATATTACTTTAAACAAAAAAAAAATCCAATTAATTCTCACCAAGAGAAACAAAGCACCAACAACATTTACAAGAAGGGTTATGAAATCGAATTGACCAATAGAACCATGCTGTTGAAATACCAATCGAATCCTTTAAAAAAATAAGCTTGTAAGATTCATCATATATACAGTATATACAATATATAGTATATTTATTTATTTAGACTCGTGAATATCGAATATATTACTCACCCATGCCTATCTATTATGGTATATGATCCATCTGAGTTTAGAATGTTTTGCGCAGCCTTATACTCGTTTCCATCAATCACCTGAGGCAAATATTTGTAAGTAATATCGTCTTTCTGTTTGAGGTGTATAAACCGAGATATTTAAGATTTTGTGCAATCCGAAATAAAAAAGAAACAATTTATAGCGAAATAGAGATTTACCCGGAAACGGACGTTCATGTATTCAATAACTACTGATATAACAATGCCAGAAGACCTATATGTTTCTCCCTTTGCTTTATCTGCGCCGGGTGCCGTAGAAGGGCCTATAATTTGATAAGGTTTCTTTTAGTACATCCGTATTTAGAATAAAAAGAATTTGTAGATAGATATATAAATGATGTCCTAACCATCCAGATTTGCATTCGCGGCAGTGAGAATATCTTGAATTGTAAAAATGTCACCATCGGCATTAGGGTTGTTTTGCATCTATTGGAAGATACAGTACTTAGAAATTTCGTTAAGCTGAGAAAAAATCAAGAAGTTTGGTAAAATTAAACGATTTATTTATTACCCTCGTTTTGTTGGTGAATGACCTAATCATAGTTTTTCCATCAGATGACATGAGTGCTCCATCCATTAACCCATTACGCTGTGCTATCGATGTGGCTTGTCCTCTTATTGAATGCTCAATCATAACCTGATTTTTTTTAAAAGAATAAAACTTATATGAGTGATAGTAATTAATCAAAAGCATATTTTGGTTAACCTCACTTACCGTGTAATCTTCAATGTCACCTATGAATGATTTAGGTATCGTTACATTGGAGTTCGAGGAAATGAACGTGGACTTTGGATTGAAAAAACACCGATCTGATGGATCTGATACATTCATGAAACTTGGACATCCTTGAGGCGGTGGATAATTTGTAACGGATACTCTGGTTGTGAAAAATGCCACACCAGCTCCATCACTTGGATATTGAACTATTTGAGAAAAAAATTACTATTAATTTAAAGAACCCTAATTCTAAAATATCGAGTCCTTCAGAAATCAGTATGGTCACATACTATCGTTAGCACCCCAATACAGGCAAGGAAGCTGACCATTAGTGCAGTAACGAGGTTGAGTAAGGGTTGTTGGGGCTTGTAACGTGATTCGAACGGCTCCAGGCACAGGAAGTTCCTGGAAATTAATTGT